GCAAAAGAGGATTTATAATTTTGGTGGATTGCACATTTCATTATTATATCCATACCAGGCATTTGTATGAGACTTGATACACATATATGATTAATTATTTAGAGTTTTTTGTTCTTCAAAATATAATAGCATGTTTGACATACTCAAAAGATGCAATTGCACTCATTATAAATTATTTGCATGCTTTAAATATATTGTACCAATAAATCATTTTGAAAGGCACATATAAGATGTAAGATTATATAAACTTGCCTTATTTGAATTAATACATTGACGGGTGTAAAATTTCACTTTTAAGTTTTTTTAAATATCTCATTCTGTTCGCTTGCAAATATGTTGCGAATCCGATGACGAGTTTGGAATATGAAGTCATTATTTAACATTTAAGAATGTCATTTATATTCTTGAATTTAGCTCTAATTTATACATTCATATTTAAGTCAATTTGTCATCCCCTAAAGCTCAAACTCAATCAAACTTTTGCCCCAAATTTATGTTTTAAATTGGGTTAAATAAAGAATTATTAGAATTATTAAATATATTTTTATTTGATCAACTTCAATTATTATCGAATTTGAAGTCAAAGAGAAGTCTGATCACATTAATTTATGAGTTATTTAATGCATTTGGTCGTTCTTTTGAAATGACTTAATTTATTATCTATGTGATTATTCTATAATTTGTAATTTAATTTTTATGTCATTTTAAAGTCCAAACAATTCAAGTTTTAAATCATTTTGCAAGCCAGAAATTCTAAGATTTGAAGATATTTACAACTCCAAATCACCTGAAAATTTGGCAGTCTCCCGACGCCAACCCCTGTTAGGGGATACCAGGAGAATGCTAGCCTTCCTAACTCTCTTAAAAGATCGCTGGTCAGTGTCACGTGACACTGCAACCGGGGAGCAAAAATACATATTTAACCCGCAGTCTTAAATGACGTGACGAGCCTTCAATGAACTTGCAAAGAAATAGTCAAATCACAATATTTTCCCGAGCGGTACTTTACTTTTTTTGAACAATACTTAATTCTTAAGGATGAGTACTTGCATTTCCTTAGACGGGTATTTGAAAACACTTAATTTTCTTAAAAATTTTCAAACGAGTCTGCGATTTTTTCTAAAGGATATTTAATTTACTCATGCTTTCTCGAATGGACATTTTAAAAGTCTCCCCTTCATGCATATTTTTATACCTTTTCGAGCTTTGACGGTTTGACGTGACGATTTACGATGGGGGCAATTGACGACGAAACATAACAGAGTACAATACAATATAAAGTGGAAATAAAACAACAATAGTAAATGAAGAAGGCTTAGCTGTGATTTTAGGGCTCATATGAATACCTGGGCTTGATTCACAGAGAGGCAAAATGACGAGGCTCGGGTTTGTGTTTGAAGGGGCTGACAGGTCGAGTCTCGGTGGAGATGCGATTTAAACAGGGAAGGCGGGAGGGG